GTAAAAAAAAAAAAAAAAAAAATTTATTTCTGTTTATTGGAATAAAATAAATTGTTTAAATTTCCTGTTACCGATGCAAAATAATTCTTTGATTATTTTTAATCACTTTTAAATTATTATTTTAAAGCAAATGTACATGTAGGATCGTATCAACAAATTTACTCATCTCTGTAGATGAATCCAACAGTTATGCCTGCAAACAATTGTAATAAACTCGCTTGGAAATAATTTTAAATTATCGAAAAAAGTTATCCGTATCGTACGTATATAATGTTGACTCAGATAAGCATGAGATAAAAACGTCGAGAAATAAAAACAACGAAAATCACCGGAGGTTACCCGCAATAACAATTCAGAAAGTTGACGCGCAGGTCAAAGAGATAAACAATTTCACAGTAATTTTTACCGCTATGAATATCTCGATGTTGTATTAAACAAAAGCGACAGTAAAGTGCATGTGTAAAACGCGGAGTCCATATATATGAATAAATTACAGCAAGTATACACTTGCGATGTTGGGTCGCGAGATATATAGATGATTAACGTGCAAGAAGCAACAATCAGTCCAAGTATCTCTTTCGCAATTGCTGGAGAAGATCGAGAGTTTCGATGTAAAACAAAAATTGATATGAGTGAGAGCTGCCGTAAATACGTAATAATTTTATTGCCGATTGAAAGCTGAAGCGCATATTGAAAAGGATCCTATGTCGTCGAAGCTTGCAGGGTGCCCATACCATTTTCTACGCATTATTTTTAAACTCGTGTCACCGCTCCGCAAAGTGGATAATCAAGAAGCATCTCTCTATATAATATATACCAGTATATCCAACCCCTACGTTGCAGTTACAAGGCGAAGAAAGATGAGTCTTACATGTTTATACCTAATATATATATACACACGTGTACTTGCAAAGTTGCAAGCACGTGAAAATACGAATAAAGTACTTACGTGCCTAATGTATCGAGCTCATTTGGCCGAGTGACTAATTTTTCTTAATTTAAAGGGCATCGATCGACGATAAACGTAAACATATAATTCAGCCTCCCTGTCTCCCTGGCCCTCCCTATCTTTAGCCACTGCGGGAGATTCATTGCTGTGTGCTCGTCTCTGTTGTTATTGGGCAATTCGTAGGTTTCATATACGAGAGACTATAGATAAAAATAGAGAATTATAAATAGCTTCGTGCAAATAAATATCTAATTTTTCCCCTCCACACTCGCTGGGTAAAAGGAGAGAAATCAGCTGATCTCTCTCTCTCAGAATGAAGCGGGTCTGAAGATAGAGATGAAAAAAAAAAAAAAAAAATCCCTGTCTTGTAAAGATTGATTTTCGAAGCAACGAGTCACTGAAGATAAATCGCTTGTACGGAGATGTGAAATTAACGAGAGCCAAGTGGGAAAAGAAACGCTGCTCGATGTCCGCAGAAGTGCTTCGAGATCGATTGAGTCGTAAAGGGAAAAAAAAAGTAGTGCAATGACTCCTATTGGGAACGACAAAACTTTCAACCATGTCCGACGTCTTATCGTATATACTATATTTACAAATCCGATACTTATTGCTTGGTGGTCAAGTAGTTTTTTTTTTACAGATGTTATTTTCTAAATTTTTCGAGGTAATCATGACTCGATTTAGTGGTTATTGGAACGTTGTCCGATCCATCGAGACTCTTTTTCTCCCTTCCACTCGAGGGGGGAAAAAAAAAATCGCCACGCTTATCGGTGCACGCATTTCACAATCGTGCGTACGCACATGAGTGAGACATACCTACCTTCGCTGAAACGCCTTTTAAGGCCGACCGCTGTCACGTAAGCGTGTAATAACTGGAATGCAACACACATCTCCGCTGTTTCGTACCGAGGCCTGTGTAAAAGTTGCAATGCCAGAATTGGAGGAAAATAACAACGCATGATTTTAAGGACGTTCGGTAGAGATAGAACCCTGTGATGAATCTTTTTGAAAATTAAACCAAACGTTCTTATTGTTGTTACAATGAAGCTATTAAAATTTCAAGAGGTTCGTCTGTTTCGTTTCCGAGATATTGAATTTCAAAGTTCAGTCATTTTAACACGGTCGCTTATGGGGAAACTTATAAAAACTCGGTTTTAAAAAAATTGGCGTGATGAATGTCTCCAATTTTTTTATATGTCATAGATAATGTTATGAACTATATGCATAAAAAGTTTCACGACGATCGTCTGATTAGTTTACGAATAAAAAAATTAAATAATAGTTCGACAAAAACGTAACGGCAACGTCGTAAGAAGCGGGAAATTCAAAATGTTCCAGGACCTACATTTCAGTAAATATTTGAACATTATGGTAGATATTTATGTATTTCTGTATAAAACATAAGCTTGTGTATGTGTGTGAATGTATGTACATAGGTTCCACCCGTGCCCATAACAAAACAATGTATTATAATAACACATATTTATTTTTCTTAGTAAAATTTTTAATTTGTAATTTTTATACGATACAATTTTTTTACACACGATAACAAAATCACATGCTTGTAGTAATCGCAGAGACTAGAGTATGTCCTAATTATTTAACATATCACTTCCAATGAGACTTTTCAAGTCACATAAGAATTCAAGAATTTTATTTACATTAGCTACGAATATAATTGTATGTACATATATCCGTCACAAGTATTTTTAATTATTTACTCATTTTTATTACATTGTTATAACGAATGAAAATCAAATACTTACATCTTTAGCATAAATACATTACAAATATACACATACGCTGCCGTAACTGACGCAGCAGACACTGCAGGTGCAGAGTGCACACCACCTGATGTGTGTATATATGTGTGTACATGAACACTCACACATTGGAAACCCGTGCGGCGATGCCAAATCTTCACTCATCGCTAATTCCCCCTTGCCCCGCAAGTGGTTCCCCCCCCCCGCTATCTCTATAGAGGTCTTCGGTATACCGAACGTCCTTAACGTAATAGTGACGTAAGCCATTTTTTTTTTATTTTACTCGCATCCAATAAAAAATAAAAATAACTTTTGATATTCAAACATCTTGAAATCAATCTGCATTGATGATACGTGATGATACGTATTTTTATAATTCTAGAATTTAACAGCTGTATTTTTTTTAACTACCGCTTGGCTTGTGCGTAAAATAAAAAAAAAAACAAGACAACTACATAGTGGCGTTAAAAATTTGTTTATTTGTGACTCGTTGACTCGACACAAAATTAAAATAAACTCAAAGTGTAGAACGGTACGTGCAAGCACAAAACCAAAAGAAGGCTTTTCAACAATGTGCATTACGATACGAGACTTATCGGCGTAGATCCACATATTTCTTGGGATCTATTAATAGTAGTACAGTAGTTTCCGTCACAGAAGCGTCATCGCCGCCGAAGCTATTTTGCGGCCTGAGGGAGCGTAGGGTAACCGTGGTAGGATGGCGCACTATTTTTCCTATACCCAGGGCGCAGTACTTACTTACACGTCCAATATCCCGAAAAACGCCCCGAGGTGGGAAAAGTAACGAAAGTGACAAAAAAATTCATTAGTTTCTTGCACTCCAGTTAACGAAATTAAGTATGAGACAAGTCAATATCATCAAACAGCGACGCGTACTTAAGTATATGTACACATTTGAAACCACCAAACCTGATGTTAGGTTTTTTTTTTTTTTTTTTTATATACACAAGCATGTAAAACAATCACATTTTTGAAAGATCTTTATTTAGAAAAATTGTAAGTTTAGTGAACTTTAAAACTAATTTGCCGAGTACAATCATTGATTTTTTCGATGCATCTGCGTGTTGACAGATTTACCTCAAGGATAAAAGGTAAATTATGTTCATATATGTAGTATAATCGTAGAGTTCTTTGTTGTACGTTAAGTAAAGAAAACGTATTTTAGACCTTATCGGAAAAAGTCATAATTAGTCTTTAGTATACGTAGATAAACGTACGACATGCGTTTGGGCATTGCCGGAATGATTCATAGGGACTTATTGCTGTTAAAGTTATGAAAACAAAATACTTCACTTTTTCCAACCGATACTGTACCTATACTTCCTGTAAAACATTGTAGTTCTCAAAATTAGAAGAGAGAGAAAAAAAAAACAACCGATAATACACGCTAAAAATACCTCGAAAAATACAATAGCTGAACAATCGAATACAAAGACTGGTTGTTTTTTTTTTTTTTTAATCTTGTTCCTCAGCTCGTGTATGCTTTGATATTGAAAATTTTGTGGTTAAGTGCAGTAAATTGTTGATCAAAGGTTGATTCATGGGAATGAAAAACAAAGCAAAATCCCCTAAAGGATCGAAATGGAGGTGAAATTGACCCTTTACCAAATGCTCGAAGTAAACAACCCATGACAGTGTGTGATGTGCATGTCAGGTGCAACATCGAGAGACACTCTTAAAACGCTGTACTTGTATACCTCTTAGACACACCTATGGTAACACATAATCTCTTGGCCGCACTTACGTACCAATATCAACATCATCATGATCATCATCAGCCACTAGCATATAGCTAAATAACGAAATGACCTCCACCTCCGCACTTGGTTCTATTCCGGATACGCGGAGCCGCTAAGTTTAGCTGCTTTGCGTTGGCCCGCACTTGGCGCGCCTCCTCCCCCTCTATTTTCGCGCGTCGTCGCACCTCTTTTTCTTCTTCCCCTCTTCTACATCTCCGATTAGATCGCATCGCCGGGCAGCAGCATCGATCTTCATTATTGGACCCGGCGTGTCCGATGGCGGGAAAACATCAAAACAAACGAAACTACTCGTCGGTTCTTTTCTTTTGTTTCGTTTGTACGTGTATATACAATATGCTCGAGCTCCGAAAAAAAACCCGTGGCGCCTTCCTCCTACCACCGAGTACTTAATGACTTGTTTCTTCCACGCACTCCAATTAGTAGTGCGACGAGCCGAGCGCTCGTCTATATACCTACAAACGAGTCTCCATAAACGCTTGACGTTTTGTGTTTGGTTTTTGTTGGCAGGTGGTCGAGGAGCGGAGAAGAAAAGCACCCAAGCCGTAAGTATAGTTGACGGCGCCCGTCGTACAGAGCTTGAGCGCACCAGTAGCCGCACAACAGTGCACACGAGGCAACCATGGTGGACTACTACAACGTACTCGAGGTCACGCGGACCGCCACCAATGGAGAAATTAAAAAGGCGTAAGTGATGCCACCTCCACGTTTTTTTAAATCTATATTATACTTACTACACCTTTGTGCACGTATTATCACAGTCTATTATTTTTAACGATGTGTATACATAAATATACATGCCACGTTAGAAGCTAACCAATCTTCCTCCTGTCATTGTATGCTTCGATATTATTAACGGATTCTCACTTTGGTTTCCTAATTATAAAGATCATCGCTATTTTATTCTTTAACGAGCTATTTTCAAAGAGAGCGCGATGAAAGATTGTGCTCAGCCGGTCGGAGGTGATTCATCAAGCGAATGGCTACAGGCGTATCCTCGTATTTTTCCGTGTTTGATATGTTTAACGTATATAAATCGCGCCAAATTTCCATAGTGGCAAGTTATTTATGCTCCGTTGTACATAAATCACGTTGAATTCATTACTATTATGATTAATAATGATAAAGAAACGCAATCCAACTGGTACATCAGTTTTGTTCTCCCTTATTACCTGGCCGTCGATTCACTCAAAAAAAGGGCGGGTAGGGGGTGTTCCGAAAACCATATACATATAGCCATCATCCCTTAAACGCGCTGTGATAAAAACAATCCTCGACAAAGCAAAAGCCAATGGGGCACAACGAAGGAAAAATACCAACTCAATTTACTTCGACCCAACGTCTTGTGAAAAAGTTTGTGCTCCCCTTCTCATCTCCTGTCACAAAAATATATAATGTACACAAAGAGAGAGACCTATGTGCAAACATACAACACACACACACACTCCACTCCTACATACATGTACACCTACATAATAGCAGCAGTGTAGATATTATATAGAGCAGAGTTGAGGTGATCGATTCCATGTCCTATGTGTATAGTAGTTGCGCACTGCTTTGTGCGCTGCAAGTAAGTGTAAACGTCCCCTCTGTGGCTGAGCCTCGAGGGTTGAAAAAAAAGTAAGGGGGAGAAATCGCAGAGCCCATATAAATATGTTTTCGTAAATATTCACGAGAGAGAAAAGAGAATCAATCGCTGTTGCTTCTGGTGTGCTGCTCACAAAGGAACATGATGATACAGGTATAGAGGGAGCAGCCACCCTGCCTTTCAGATCGGATGGTGCGTTTATGTGATGATGCACTGCAGTTTCTCCTTTTTTTTTTTTATTTAACTATAGTCGTTGATCTTTTTCTCCCTTTTCAGTTCATGCATCCGCAAGAGAGAGAGATATATATGTATATAATCTACTGCTCTCTTTGCACATGTGGGCATGCACGTGTATATATATATATATATATATGCACCTCTACTCTACTCTGCCGCTCTCTCTCTCTCTCTCGTGAGCATATCGTATATGTATATGTGTAGCGGCTGAGAGGTCTTTGACCCATTTCACGGCCGCGACAACGTCGTGGGTGTCACGTTGGTTGCTTCTTCTTCGTCTTCTTCATTTTCTTCTCTTCTTCATCTTTGCTCTCGCGTGTGCACACACCGAAATAAACGCTTTCTTCCTGCGCTTAAGCGCGTTCATTGGGTGTGGGTGTTCCTTTGTAGGGCTTCGGGCCAAGGAGCCGCAGGATACACGGGTGCATCGTCATCTTCTTCGGAGAAAAGTCTAAAAGTTGTTCACAATGGCATCAAAGTATATATACACGTAGTCACATGGGTCTCTCTCTTTTGTCCACTAATACCTATACCCCTTGTATATTCATATGCTCATTTGTTTTTCCGAGGCTAAAGACAATGTCCTTTGTTTCGATGTAGTAGGTATACTCGTATAAACACACACTTTGGATACTTTATGAGCCGAACTTTGCGTGATTCACATCGTGATTATGGCTCCTTGTATTCTTTATTTAATAATCGAGTTGAAGTTTCATATGGTGCTTCGGATCTATCGCTGTTGGATAAAAAAGTATGTGTGGGGGTGTACGTAAGGTATTAGTTTTCCGGGGAACTCGAAAGTTTTTATTCGACCGCGAGACGCTTGGCTTTCTCGGAATGGTTCGACCATTATGATAGTTTTTACGACTGCTAACTGTGTCGAAGCGAAGGAAAAGAGAAAAAACCACAACAACGATTCCTCGACACAACTGGTTCTTTCTTTTTTCCTTTTTTTTTTAAGTCTTCCATCGCGATTTATTTCCCGCGAATATGTATCTAATTTATACGTCCAAGTATACACTTGACATCTGAAATTTAAAAAAGCTCGTTGGGTGAAAATGTATATTATTATAATTATTATAATCACTTTTTGCATAAAATTTCTGACGAAGCGAAAAAAAAAACAATTAATTGAATTTCAGGTACAGAAAATTGGCGCTTAAATGGCACCCCGACAAAAATCCGGACAATCTCGAGGAGTCGAACCAGCGATTCAAGGAGATCTCCGAAGCCTACGAAGTCCTCATCGACGGTAAGCCGATATTTTTTCCCCTCCCCCCCCCCAAAGCTACCTTAATATTGTACAAGCTGCGGCTCTTGCAACAACTACAACACAAATCCCTCTCCAACTTAATAATAGCGAAGCACGCACGTAGCGTCGTTGCGAATGCACTCTTATCGTGAAATCGAATTTTTAACTTGTTTTTTTTTTTTTTTTTTTTTTTTTTTTTCAAATTCCTTTCGCGACGCGCGCACTTTGCTTTATTCTTGTGTAGCCACTCAAAGAGCACTTTAGAAAACATAATAGAAGGCTTCTTCTTCCACGCGTCCTTGCAGTGCAACACATATAATATAGTTGCTTCTTACATCTTACCCACCACTTTGCAAAGTTGCCAATAAACAAATCGATGCAGAGCACGACTACTAAAAAACCTCATCTTCTACACTCTTCCCTCTTACAACTATTATAAAACGTAAGTGATACGGTATGTATGAGTTACAGTGTAAATGTACAACAGGAAGCTGTTCGCTTATACGTATACGCGTTACGTAGAAATTTGCCGGTAGTGCATGCAATTCGAGAAAGAGAAAGTTCAGCTCTCCGCGGGGGAGGGGGGGGGGCACTGTTGATATTTTGACCGTACTTTATCGGTACCACAAGTATACTTACCTAATATGCAAAATGAAAGTGAAACGACGGCTCGGGTATGTTATGGCCTCGTGAAATTTGTCGTCTCTCTGTAAAAGTATATACTTATACATCCAGCGCACACGGTGAAATTTGCTCGGGTAACAGATCTGCAGTCACGTGTTCGGACACTTGTAAATATGTATCTTTCTTTACACGTGCCTCGATTCTTCGATGAATTTTTGATTAGTCCGTGGTTAACAGTTTCTCTGCGCTTTTGCACGTGCAAATTGCACGCAATTGCGTTATCCATTGCGGAATCACACAAGTTGGAGTCAACGAGCCACGCGGTGTTGAGAAAGCGCGAATAAAATTTCTCCCGTAAAAGAGAGTAAAAAGCCACAACAAAAGTAAACCCCAATTTGCCCTCAACGTATATAGTCTCTTACATATTCGATCGGCGCGTTAACAGCGGCTAATTTAGGGGGGGAAAAAAGTGCGCTTTTGTTACGCCATTACTTACACGTATCTCCAATAAATTCCTGTGCAACTTTCACTCGCGTTCTTGCATACAATACACCATATTCGCGTAAAAGTAGACTAAAAACGACTACAATTCCACACTATACATTAAACTCCATTGTTCCGCGCACACGAACTAGTTTTATCACCAGCGCGTCCCGATAAATTTTAAAAAAGTGGAGTAAAATAATAAAAAAAAAAAAAAAAAAAAAAAAAAAGAAAGGAAAGTGAGCTTAGAGGGAAGCGCAAAGCCGCACGGAATATACCGCGTGTCCTCGAAAGAAAGAACGTGTGTGTGTATGTGCGAGGGTAAAAAATATAATACACAATATATGTATATATACACGAGTATAATAAACGGGAGGGGAGAGGAAAAAAAGAGAGAGAGGGGAAGAGATAAGAAACAGGAGAGAGAATAGAGCTTGTGGTGTGTGTTGTATACAGATGCAAAGAGGCGGAGGTACGACCAGCGAAATCAAAGAGCTACGTCGAGGCCGGCGCGTGCCGCAGGATACACCTACCGGGATCTCTTTGACTCGCCTTTCCACAGATTTTTTGGTATCTTCTTCTTCAACTCTGTACACTCGACCATCACTCTTTGATGATGATCCTTTTTTTTTTTTCAAACTACCTTCATTACACCTACCGAGTTCATATAAATTATTAATACTGGTGCGATGACGAAAAAATAATAATTTTTCCTTTTTCTTTGTTACACTTTCCTGAGTTGCCGCTTTCCTATCTCTATAACGAATGTTTCACCGCTTCTAATAAATTAATCAAGCTGGAAGCAAACACGATAACGTTATTTTGTCATAGTATTGAAACCTCCTTGATTAATGATTAATAATTACGCACATGTTTACCCAAACCATTTCTCGCGAGAGTGTGTACTTGCAGCGTTCAAATTAAAGTTATGGGCACACGCGCAAGGTTATTAAATAAAAAATAAGCGTGTTTTTTTCCAAGAGCGTTATGTTATTACATGATGATGTTTTTCTGTGTGACTGGCAATCTTAGAAATTGTTTTTTTCTCGTATATATAGCACTAACTTACTGCTAATCCGTTGTACAACCGTATCTACCGTACGTACATCTTGGACCTGAATTTGTAAGGTCATTTATTATTTTTTGCCATCTCGGCAACTTTCGCAATCGCGATGATGGTTTTAATCGAATCGTCATTGATATCTATCTCTTGGTGGGATTCAATTGAAGAAGAAACAATAAATGTGTAGGTATACTGTATCCCATATCACGATGATGTCAATAATATTATTGTTCACGTCTATTTTTACGAGGAAATAGCTTTCGAAAAAATTTTTCAACTATCGTCTCTTGTATTTTCTAAAATGAATCACGTGTTCGGGTTGAAAAATAAAAAATCTGTCATATCATTATAAAAAAAAAACATTATAAATACAGTATGAACAAATTTTTTTTTTATTTATAATTTTACGAGTAAAATGAAATTCGATAAGGCTATTGTCTCGTTTTGTGGATGAGTAGTTTTTGAAGTTTTTTTAATTTTAATCATTTTTAATTATTATTTTGTTATAATAGTTGAAGGTATAACAAAAAATGAACAATATTTAGAAATGTATGTCATGTGAATATCGCTTTTTATTTCATTACGTGTAAATAATAAAAATTCGAACTCTGTTGGATAATCGATCAGATTATCTGCTTTTCAATTTTTAATTATTATTTTTTTGTTTTCCTCAAACGATAGTGTTAAATTATCGATCGTTGCCTTTATATGTATTGACACACATCTATATCGAAGAATCATCGAGATAAGCCCCAATAGGTGGACGCTTTAGTTTATATCGCTTGCCTTAATAATAACGTCGCCTTGCAATGTTTGATGCAAAATTATCTGCGCTTAAATCGAGGTGCGAACAAAAAAACGCGCAAACAATAACAATATCGTCTTGCGATTTCTTATCCCCGACAGCTTTCCTGGTAATGAATCATGAGCTCTCCGTCGAATTTTCTTTCTAACATGAGTACTCACACCTTTTTTTCTGATCCATGTGTGTTGAGCTAACGCTACGTATTATAGGCTGCTGCATAACGTTTTGTACTTTTTCTGTTTCCAATTTTGAGAGGCTCTTTTTCTTTTACCTTCTGTGAAATTTTTACGATGACCTATTAATCGGAAGATTATCCATTTCAAGTGTTTTTGTCGAATCTCGATCTCAAGAAATATATATATACCCAAAGGGCCTCTCAGAGTGATAAACTGGAGTACTACACACACCCTCGTACTTAATGGGTTTTACGAAGCTTTGCGAGCGAACGCAGGGACGAGCGGAGAGGGAATGAATGAGCGAGTGAAGAAAAAGTAACCATCACCAGACCAGTTTTCCATTAACTCGTTTACATGTTGTTTTTTTTTTTTTTTTTTTTTNTTTTTTCAGGAGCAAAAAAATAAAATAAACATTATACAGTAATACAGTTTTTTTTTATTTTAGAAAAGATTGATTAAAAATTTTTTTTTTACAACTTTAGCACGATTATTTGAATCAACGTCACCAGATTTTCTAAATTTCCACGCATTAGCACGGAACGCGAAAGAAAAAGACAAAAAATAGTCAAATCAATTAACACCCCGAATTGTGATGAATCGAAGACCGCGGTAAAATTTGTTTATTTTTTTTTCTTTTTCCCCGAGGCAAAAGCATATATATACGATTAGCAACGCCAAACGACTCGAGTTCGAGTATAATAAGTTTCGCGCCGCACATGCGCTAATCGACGAAAAAAATATATTCTAAAACATTTTTTCAAACAAAGCCGACGCTTCGAAAATAGACAAAAAAAAACACATTTCGCAACTTTTTCCGACGCTACCAACCGATGTGGGTATAATATATTATGATGAAAAAAAAAAAAAAAAAAAAAAAAAAAAAAAAAAAATTAATAACAACTATAAAGAGAGACAAAACCACCTTCGATTTTATGCGCTATTAATAACCGGCTGCGCAACGAGCCGCGAGCGCAGGAATTTAATTTGTGCTCGGTAGGCGATAACTGTCGCTAAAGCCTTCGCCACTCGTCATGTGCGTACATGATGAATGATCCACAGGGTCGCGGGCGATTTGACATCTAGCAGATTTTATTAATATGTGTCTTTTCCTTGCAGATCTGCACGGGCACTCGCGAGGGCACAGGAATCGAAACGCCGGCAACAGCATAAGCACCTCGTTCTTCTCGCCCTTTGGACACTTTGATTCGGCGTTCGGCGATATCTTCGGTGGTGGCTTTGGCATGAACAACTGCACTACCTTCAGCACCTGCGCAAGCTTCGGAGGACCCAGCAACAATGGGCCCCGGGAAATGAAGCGAACGAGTACGTCCACGAGGTTCATCAACGGCAAAAAGATCACCACCAAAAAGTCAGTTTACTTACATGTTCAATTCACATTGAAAGGGATATTTCGTTTGTGCTGATGAATTGTCTTTTTTTTTTTTCGTTTCAGAGTCTACGAGAATGGAAAAGAGACTATTATGTCCTACGAGAACGACGTCCTCAAGTCCAAGACGGAGAATGGAGTGCCTATAGCGTACAAATAAATTTTTTTTAAAAATTTTTGTTATTAATTCGTCAAACTTAGGACTTAATAAAACTATTTGTATCTTTTTTCAAATCCGCTGCTCTAAATGTGAAACTACATCTAAATTAATCAACAGCTGCAATCGATGTACAATTGATTAACCAAAATTTTACATCAATAGCCACAGTAACCCCTTCGCTCAATAATTGGTTTGTTTGATACAACACCTTAATTTTATCACGAAACATTAAGTGTCCAAAAAAAATAATAAAATAAAGTGCGAAATTTTTTTTTTTTTTTTTTTACTTCAAGCAACACGTTATTTGACGGATTTTTTAACAAGTAATTAGCACTGTTTGGCATCAATCGCGTTACATTACACATCACCTGCGAAGATCGTGTTTCTCACTATTATATATATGCGCATGTATATAGAATCCAAGTGGTGAGCAAAAATATAGAATACCGTCACGAGAAATTTATTTTTTTGTCCCCGTAAATACACGAAAAAATTTGTACATGCATGATTTTCATTCTAAAAATTGTGCTTATACACAAAGTTTCCAAGTAGCTGCCGGTGATTGAACACTAAAGTATGTAATGCAGTCTGTTGGTGGGCACTGGCAAATTGAATAGTTACTTTCGAGGTGAAAAGTTGCGTTGTTTGATTATTTGGTCAATACTATGAACGCTATTATGCAAAGATTGTTTTTTCTATACGTAGCCGATTTTGATATTTTCA